GGGACCTCACCCTGATGACCCCCACAGAATCCCGAGAGGACCTGGAGAAGGACCAGGGTTAGGCCTTTCTCCCAGCCTCCGCCAGGCCCACTGTGCACCCAATTCCAATATTTACCACATGGGGCCCAAACCAGGGCAAAGCAGGAGAGAAGCCAGAGCAAGCCCAAGGTGCTGGGTCAGGGAGCTGTGAGCTGTCTGCTCTCTTTGCTTTTACTTTTTCCCAGAGCTCTAAGTCCCACCCCACCCTCAAGGCCACCCCTGACCTAGGTCCACGATTGCTTTGCCAAACGTGTCGTTGACTGCCTCTAAGCCTGACATTGCCCAGTCCCTTGGGAAAGAGAAGTACCCGGTCTCTGAAATTTTGATCAAACCTGTTAATTTCTAGTTCAAGTAGTCCAAGTGGTGTCTGTGGAGGCCCTGGTACCATAATGGGGGCATCAGGTGCTGAGGGGTCTCATCTAGCCCAGGTGTCGGGGTCCCCAGAGCTGTGCACCCAGGAGCTCAGTTTCAGCACACAGTCCAGAGCCGAGAGCTTTAGGCTGAGTCTGTACCTCTCAGGAAACCTCCTGAGCAAGGAAAAGGCTCAGCTCCCTCTGGAAGGGAGCTCTGAGCCAGCCCAGGCAAGTGCCATCAGGCATGTAAGGGCAAGAAGATATCTCTTTGGCTATAATGAACCCATTCTGCTTTAAGTCAATCTTTAGTTACCATTATTGTAAAACTTGTAGTTTCTCTTCAGGGTTTGAATTCTCACCATGGAATGGCCCATTGAGGGCACGGAAATGTCAGGATTGATATTAGGGAACAGGAGGAGAGCAGATGAAGGCCAGGGGTACGGATGTGCCCTGAGGCACCTCCAATAATTTGGGGTCCAGGGTTCGGGCTTCTGGAATAGGACCCTCTAACCAGGCCAGGCCCCTTTTAGGTCCCAGGCACCCACATGAATAGAGTGGCCCTGTCCTCAGGGCCTAGATAGTGAGAGACACTGACCGAGCAGGGACACCATGAGACGGGTCCCCCAAAGTGGGAGGGGCTGCTGCAGTCAGAGTCGGGGCTCCTGGGTGAGAAGACCCCAGGTGAGAACTGAGTGTTCTCCAAGGCCTCGGCCCTGTGCTCCCCTGGGAAAAGCAGGTCAGGGTGAGCAGGCGGCTTCCGGGCTCAGGACAGTCACCCTGGAGGAGCTCCTGGGTGGGGCATGTGGGGGTCGGGGTGACTGGGGCCCTGGGCAGGCAGGAAGCTCCAGACCTGTCCCTCCGCTCCCTCTGTGTCTCCCTGTCCTCTGTCCCTTCACAGCCTGTGTCACCATGGAGCCCCAGGGCACCTCCAGGGGAGGTCAGGCTTCAGGGGCAGAAGATGAGAACCCCAGGGGGGTTCACACAGGGACCTGTCAGCTGTGGGGAGGCACTTCCTGTCAGCAGGAAGGAGGCACTGAGCAGAGATGGGGCGAATCTCAGTAAGGGCCGTTTGAGATCACAAATCAGTCAGTTCTGTTCAGAGACAACACATTCAGCTTTAAGAGTGAGCTCAAAAAGCAAGAGAGATGAAGCTGACACGAACACACAGGGCTCCTTACAAAATCACACGTGATTCCAAAAGGGTGAACTCCACTCTTGACAATGAAGAAGAAAGCAAGTTAATGAAGATAGGACAGACCGAACCTCCTCTACGAGTTTCTGGCTTCTGATTTTTTGAGACAACGTTGGTTTACAAATCTGAACACGCTTCACAGCTATGTTAGTCGCATCACCCCAACGACACCCACCACCCTCCACAAGGCCCCTTTGCCCCTTTTTCCCACCTCCTCCCTCGCCCTGTGAGGTTCTCAGGTCAACAGTCATATCCGCTTAGGTCTTCCCTGACTCTGTCTCTCTGCATTCCACACACCAGGGACAGCATCTGGTATTTGTCTTTAGCATCTTTAGCAGAGGGCTCTGGAGTCCCAGCTTGGCCACAGGGGCCAGCGGTGCTCCCCGAGACGCTGGGGCATCCTCCCCGTGTACCAGAACACCGGCCTGCATTGATCTCTGAGTATGTTTAGAAATCATTTTCTCTTATTGTAAAGTAATCCAGGTAAATTACCAACAATTTATGAAACAGGGGAAAAAGAGCAAGATACTAATTACTTTCTTCCATTACTACTCCTCTGATGGGAAATGCAATCAGAGGCAGTGAATACTATCAGCATTTGATTGTGTCTCAGGCAGGGAAATAGGGTGCTGAGGCTGTACATTCTGTATTTTTATACAGAATCCGTGCTCTACCATGCGTTACCTGTTCACTTTCTATGTGGCATTAATCATGATCTATTTTCCAGCTCTGGGAAGTCAGCCCTGCCCTGGCCGCCCAGAGGCCTGGGAGTGACCAGTCTCCATGGCGCCTTCCTCACGAGAGAGCCCAAGGTCAGGACAGTGCCCCAGCTCCTGCTCGAGGGGCCAGAGGCCAGCGCTGGGGACAGGGTCATGGACAGGGAGCATCTGGCCTACGTGACTGGGGTCAGGGAGGAGCTGCCGTGACAGGCCGAGGGGAGCTGGAGGCCCCAGGGAGGACAGGCAGAGCAGCAGCTGGAATGTGCTTCGGGCCCCTCTGCGGCTGTTTCCACAGAGGCACAGGCTGGGCCATCTGGCTGGAGCCCAGTCAGGATCATGGCCTTGGGCAGGGGGGCAGTCCAGGCTATTTGGGGGCAGGAGAAGCAGCCAATATATGTGTGCATGGGGGATGGGCAGTGGGCAGAGATTGAAGGGTTTCTGAGGCTCCCCCCCGGCCCCCACCCTGGATCTGTCCCAGGAAGCAGAGCTCCTCTCCTTGGGGCCTCGGGTGGGCGGAGCTGGGCCTCCTGGTCCAGGCTGGGGCTGCCTGTCGGGTCACTGCTGCCTGTGTCTGCCGAGTCCCCTGGAGGGGGTGGGGCAGCCGACACATGGTGTCCATGTCCACCATGTTCATGACAGGGCCTTCAGACCAAGAAGCTGTCAGCAGCACCCACGTGGCCCAGAACCGAGGGATCCCTGCCCCATATCAAAGCACACCTGACACCAAAGCACAAGCCACGAGAGAAAAATACCGAGAACTTGTGAAAATTACTGTCTTCCTGCAACAATGAACATTGTCTTAAGAAAGTGATAAGACAGCCTTCAAATTTTGCAAGTCATACATCTGAAGGTCATTTAATATGCATAATATACAGAACTTCTTAAACTCGAAAACCAGTTGGAAATAAGGGACAACGGACTAGAATATCTTATTTTCTAAGGATTATAGTCAGGATGGCCAACTCTCACAGTGAATCACCTCATCAGGGCAAGGGCCAGGAGGGGCGCCCGAGAAACTCCCCAGGGGAGCTCTGGGATCCGTCGTGGCTCTGGAGACAGGGACAGTGGACTGGAGCCCAGTTGCTGGGGCCTCACCCTCACTCTCTCAGGCCAGGACATGCTATAACACAGGGCTCCAGGGAGCTTGGAAACTATGATGAGGAGTGCAAAATCATTGCACTGATTTCATTTAATTATGCATTAGTTGCATTCATGCATTTACTATGCAGTGGGGATGATGCT